AAAAAAAAAAAAGGAGGGCACGTACTGCATGGAGCACTGGGTGTTATAGGAAAACAATGAATTGTGGATCACTACATCAAAAACTAATGATGTATTGTATGGTGACTAACATAACATAATAAAATAAAATTAAATTAAATTAAAAAAAAAGATTGAGGTGAGAAATGAAACTGTTATGTGGCCCAAAGCCATAGACATCTTTTAACTTATGATGAGGAAGTGCTCCCCAAAGAACCAGAATACTCAAAATCCACATGATTAAAGCATTCTCCCCTCCAAATTTGAATATGAAATCAGAATACATGGAATTGGATTAATTGAATATTCAATATCTAGTGGCATCAGATCATGACCCCATCTCACCAAAGGGATGGCCTCAGCAGGCATTGGAGAACTCTTGATACCCCTGGACAGGCTTGAGTGGACACTGTTTACCTTCACCTCAATGTCCTTCCTTTGTCTAGGCCTTCAGGACTGACTAGACGCCCCCCTTCAGACAGATCCATTCTTTCTTTAGGTATGTTAATAAAGTCAGAACAATTACTCTCAGTTCCTGCCAGCCTAGAAGCAACTCTTTCTCTCTTCAGAGGTCTCTCTCAAAGGTCTGTGTTTTTGTCTCCATCTGTCTCACTATTTTTCTCTTTCTGCTTCTGCCTTTCATTCTGACTCTCCTTTGCCTGTGGTCTCTGGTTTGCTCATTTTCGTAGCCTTATCCTGACTCGTCACATGTTGACTTGACAGTAGTGGGTGATGTATTTCCTTAATTTCTAAGTTTTGGAGCTCAACTCATTCTAGTATCTAAGTACTAACAACAGATTTTAAACCCCTTGAGGGTAGGGCTGACAGGTCAGTATGATAGACAAAACATATCTTATGCATTACCTCACGATACTTGGCAACTCATAGGTGCTTAGTAATTATTAATTGATTCAATCTCTAACAAAATGTTGCTGTTTTCCTTAAGGCCGATGTCATTGTCAACACTGTTCCCATGAATCTTCAACTTGGAGGAGGAACCCTATCTCAGGCTCTTTTGCAGAAAGCTGGTCCAAAGCTCCAGGAAGAGTTATATGCCACCAGGCAGGAAACAGAAGAGGAAGTAGGTAGCATATTCATGACAAGTGGTTGCAATCTGAGCTGCCAAGCTGTCCTCCATGTGGTGGCACCAGAATGGGATAATGGAGCAGGGTCTTCTCAGCAGGTAGGGAAAATCCTTAGTTCTCTACTTCATTGGTAGCTTTGGTAATCTTCTGGCATGGTAGAGATCTGTGGTTCTCAAGCAAAGTGAATTTATTCCCCAGGAGAAATTTGGCTCGCTACAACAGTTACTGATAACTAGGAAGTGGAGGCCAGGGATGCTGCTAAGCATCCTACAAAGCATACATCAACCTCTGCAACACAAACTTTTCTGGCCGAGGTTGAGAAACCCTAGTATTGATTGAACTTTGTCTATTTATTGAAATCTTTATTACATTCCATGAACAGTCCATCATGGCTACCAGTTATTTCAGAATAATTGACCCTCAAAAGTAGTAACAATTCTTGGGTTTCTCCAGGAATGATATCTGAAAATTAGTGTAATGATCCTTCAGTATAACAAAGAGATGCAGCCAGAGCTGTGGTGAAGGATGAAGGGTCATTGCTCTTCTTTTGATGACTTCTCACCTCTTCTCCCAACTTTCTTTTTTTCAGAATATGAAAGTAATATATGTATATTGAAGAAAATGCAGGAAGTAGAAACACTAAAATAAAAATTATAATCCAGCCGCCTGGAGATAAATTTGGTTAACATTTTATTGTATTCCCTTCAAGTTGATTTTATGCATACTTATTTCTTAGTTAAGATTCCCTTTCAATCATTTTTTAATCCTGCTTTTTTAAAAATTAACATAAACACTTACACAATGTCCATAAATATTGCTTTTGATTGCAGTAAGACACCATTGGTTATGTAGCCATTCCTGTACTATTGGAGCCTTCTTCCTGCATGAGTTGGAATCTCTCTGGAATGTCCTCTCCCCCCTTGTTTTCCCTTTCTGACTCCCTGGACCCAGACAAAGCCAAGAATAGCCGAGGAGACCTCGTCACAGTCGCTGGAGCCATAGCTCTTTCTGTTCCCCACCAGCTTAAGCCCTAACTTATATAAATGTATTTTGTACATTTCAGATCATGGCGAATATAATCAAGAAATGTTTGACAGCTGTAGAAGAGTTATCTTTTTCATCAATCACATTTCCCATGATTGGAACAGGAAATTTGAGGTTTCCCAAAGCTATTTTTGCTGAACTAATCCTTTCAGAAGTGTTCGACTTTAGTAGCAGTGCCTGGCAGAAAACCTTACAAAAAGTTCACTTTCTGGTATATCCAGGTGATGATGAAATGCAGCAGGTATGGTTACATATCTCTTCTAATCATTCTGACAAGTGAACCTAAGTGCAACCAGATGTCTTTGTGGATCTGTAAATAATAATGTTTTCACTTCCCTGTCCATAAGTGTTGGTTGCTGATGGGGGGTTGTCATGACTTCACGAGATAACACTGATAACTCATACAGTCCTTCCTAGACAGTTTAGCAATAGACAAGATAATTTGTACTTAATAAATTCTTAGGAAGAGGGTGTCTGGGTGGCTCAGATGGTTAAGCATCTGCCTTCGGCTCAGGCCATGATCCCAGGGTCCTGGGATCGAGTCCCGCATCGGGCTCCCTGCTCCTTGGGAGCCTGCTTCTCCCTCTGCCTCTCTCTCTCTCTCTCTCTG